GCTTTGGATTTATTCTAATTTTATTACTAAAAATGTTTGTAATCTTTGTTTATATTCTCCATTAAAAATTTTTTTGTGGGACTAGGATTTTAACTTGGGGCTTCACGCTTGCAAAGCAGGCATTCTACCACTGAGCCACACCTCTAGTTCATTTTGCTATGGTTATTTTGGAGGTGGGGGGTGGTCTCAAACTGTTTGCCTGGGCTGGCCTCGCACCTCAGTCCTCCAGATCTCAGCCTCCCAAGTAGTGAAGTGAGCTCCCGGTGCCTGGCTAGTTCTCCATTTTTAAATCCTAAAATAGAGTAGAGTCACAAAGCGTATGAACATTTTTAAGCCCCTTGAATGCACCAGTCCATATGACTACATTTTCTAGAAAGACTCTACTAATTTACCCTTCTACAGGAAATTATGAGGTCTCTAAATTCTTAGTCCTATCATAATTGAATATACATATAGAATCAGAATTGATGGAAAAAGGCACTTTGCCTAAATGTGAAAAGGTCTTGGATTATCTTGTTTGAAAGGTCATATGCCAAGGCTGGGAGTGTGGCTCAAGCAGCATAGTGTCTGCCTAGTTTGTGCAAGGTCCTGAGTTCAAATCCCAGTGTCAACAAAATAAAGGTCATAACCTCTATATCATTGGCTGTGCCTTTAAAATGTGCTTTCACTCTTTCAGTGCCAAGCAAACAGAGTAGAACACAATTGATTTCCATTCACTATTGCATTAATTTCTGACAAGATGGGATGATGGAATTTTCTATACACTTTGCCATTTCATAGGGAAACACTATTGGATTGGGATGAGAGTTTATCTCCAGCTCTTAGGTAGTCAGCACAGATGTCACTTGTTTTAACTTTACATTCAGTTTGTGTGGCATTCATTTACTCTGCCGTTTATACATACCACATTACAGAGCCAGGATACATCCTGGGACAAACAAAATTCTTTTCCTCATTTTGTCAGGGAGAAATCATAAAGTATGTCAGATATGAGTGCAATTGAGAAAGGGAAAATTTATTTTAAATAAGTTGATCAGGAAAGGCATTTACTATGACAGGAGCAGGGATTGGAAAGTAGAGTGAACAATACCAATATCTGGGGAAAGAATTTTCTAGACACGGACTAGGAAGTTCCAAGACTGGTTGCTGTAGCCTAATTACCATGGGAGGTGGAGATTGGGAGGTTCCAAGTCAAATACAAACAGTGAGGCTCCATCTTGACCAATAAAAGTCTGGGCATAGTGGTGCATGCCTGTCATCCAAGCTATGCAGAAATTGTAAATGGGAGGATCACAGTCCAGGCTTGACTGGCCATAAAAGCAAGATCCTATTCCAAAAATAACTAAAGCAAAAAAGTCTGGGGGCATGGCTCAAGTGGTAGTACCTGTCTGGCAAGGGCAAGGCCCTTAGCTCAAACCCCAGTACTGCCAAAAATAATAGGTAAGATGAGAGGGCAACATTGTCTTTGACTGTACATACATCTTATTCGTGGTGAGATGGAGCCATTGGAGGTTTTGGACAGAAGAGTGACATGATCTGGCTCAATACTGAGTGTGGTGCAGTGTGTGATGGGTTCAAGAATGAGCCCTTGGTCTAGTGGGCAAGATGGGCACATAACTAGATGCTTTCATTCTCTTAATGGTAAAATCTGTTGAGGTGTAGTCATGGGGTGCTGAGACCCCAGAAGAAGGGCCCTGGATAAGGCTTTTTAGATGAATGACAGCAAAACTGCTGGATTTATGACCAGGTTTGAAAAGTGCTTTATAAGTCAAGAAACAACATAATGGTAAAGAGAATTCTGAAAGCACTCATGCATGTAGGAGCCAAATGGTAGAATTTGGTACAGACACATTCCTTTAGACATCCACCCTCTGTAACACTCATTGTTCCCATAATTAAAGCTTTATTTTTGCCAACCTTTTCATCACCTTTGTGGTGTTCCAAATGTTCTCCAAGTGTATCTAACCACCTATTGCTGCATAATAACCAACGATAAATCTCAGACATACCAGTATTACTTAGCTGTCACTCATCTGCTGCATACATAGCAGGTGTGTGGGTCTGCTCCACCTGTCTCAGCCTCCTTAGATAAGTGGCAAACCACCGCATGTCCCTCATAGTGACGGGAAGACACCACCAAGTCCAACCACCCAAATGCATTTCAAGCCTTCACTTATATTACATCTAACTTCCCTCAGGCAAAAGCGAGTCACATGACCAAGGCAAAAGGCAAAAGAATGAGGGGGAAAACCCACTTTTAGTGGGGGAGATTGCAAAGTTATAAGGTGATGAAGGTCATGGATACAGAGAGGGATCAATAATTCAGTCTGCCATGTTTTCCGTGCTGATATTGGACATGCATAATTTTTTTCCATTGCTCAGCTGCCTGGTATTCAGAACCTCCTGCCTTTATTCAGGAAATTCCCCTTAGAAGAACCCACATAATACTATGGAATGCTGAAAATTCCAGACACTCATGTACCCAGCCTCCTTTGCATCTGGAACATATGCACGTGACTAGGCTTGGTCAAGTGACACAAACTAAATCAGTAGCCCCAAGAAGCAGGGACAGTAGAAAATCTATTTGGTTAGGGTGGGTGGTAAGGATGTTCTGAAATAGCAAGATGGAAAGGGGGTTCTGGCTCTCATGGCAAGGTTCCTTGCTTGGTGTTAGTGGCAGCTGAGGGGCAAGCCGCGGTGTTTGGGATTTAGCAGTTGCAGTGATCTCACTAAACTTTATGGTGTGACTGTAACTGTTAAATTCCCTTCCAAGTCTACTTCTCCTTATTTTTGCAGAGTCTTCAAGCTACCTTAAACCTTTTCTGTTTACACCAGGTGGCATTTTTTTTTATTGTTTACAACCAGGAATCCTGATACAAGACTTCCCAATCTATTCTCCACTCAGATCATATCATCCTTCAAAATCCTTCAATGGTGCCCTCTTATGTTCACATACAAATTAAACTCTTTAGTGGTCTGCAAGCACCTTTGTCATCTAGCCTACCTCCTGACCCTGCTCCTCTCTCCAACCTCATTTTGCAACTTTCGTTTTTTTCCACTACTGGAAGCAGGAGATTCCTTGGCATTTCAACTTGTCCTAAAGCTATAATGGTCTACTCAATTATATTGTTGAAATTGATTTATTTTCTCTTACTATTTTTATTAAAGCTAAAAAGTCAGATTCATAATTAAATACTATATTTCTAAAAAAAAGATGTATCTCAGTCAATAAAAAGAGGATTATATTACAACTATTTCTATATTCTAATTCTCTGCTTCAGACTAAATCAAAATAAGCAATGATGGCAATCCAACCACTGACATTTTACAACCAGCACCTATCTAGGTTACAATTTTTTGAGGTTCTTGATTGCAAGTACCTTTTTGTTTCTTCCACAAGTGTTTTATTGTATAATTTACATTATACAAAAAAGATTAGAGGTAGGCGCTGGTGGCTTTCACATGTAATCCTCAGGTGACTGGATTATTTGCTTCTGGGCAAATAGCACACGAGACCATATCTCAAAAATACCCAACACAAAAATAAGGGCTGGGAGAGTGGCTCAGTGGTAGAGATAAAGTCCCACCAACTATTTGCCCGGAGCTGGCTTTGAACCTTGACCCTCCTGATCTCTGGCTCCTAAGTAGCTATGATTATAGGTATGAACCACTGGTGCCTGGCACACAAGGCTTACTGAATTAATTTATATGTATGATGTGAAACAGAAGTCAAAAGTCTTTTTTTTTAACCAACTGTGTAGATATCCAGATTATTCAGGACTTTCCTTTATCCATTGAAATGCTTGGACCTTTGTTGAAAATAATGTGACCACACAAGTAGGGGTTTATTTCTAGACTTTCTGTGATACTCCATTGATCTATTTGTCTATTCTTTTGCTGATACCACACAGTTGTAAGCACCCTTTGTGAGTTATTTTATGGTTTATATATAATAGCATTAGATTGAACTCAAGTATGGCTACAAGGTCTTGCAATTAATTATTAAACCGCAAAAGCCTCACACAGTTGCACCATGCACATTTTATAAGCCCTTGCAGAGATCAGCCACTCAATGTTTGAGCTATGAAACAAAAGAAACTAGGGCACATTCTGCTGCCGTAGCAGAGCAGATGCTTTGAAATTGCCAAGGAAGAGAGTATATACACAGGCGATTATTAAATTCAAATTTCTTCTTTGCAGACCAGTGAGATCTAGGCTTAGTTAATGACATTAATTGGAATCCCTAGCTTTCTAACTAGAAAGAAACTTTCTTTGAAAAATTATCAAAATGAGTCGTAAGGAAGTGGTGGATGAATATTTTGAAACATTAGATATTATGGGAACCCTGTATAAATTTATATATTAATAATTCAGGAAACCAGGATAAAAAGGAGTAAAAGCTTTTAGTTACATCAGAGCTCATTTTGAAAACCCTGAAATTCAAAATGCATTACATGAGGCTGGGCACCAGTGGCTCATGCCTGTAATCTTAGCTACTTAGGAGGCAGAGATCAGGAGGATCGTGGTTCAAACCCAGCCCAGGCAAATAGGTCTGTGAGGCCCTATCTCAAAAAATCCTTCATAACAACAGCGCTGGTGGAATGGCTTAAGGTGAAGGCCCTGAGTTTAAGCCCCAGTCCTGCAAAAGAAAGAAAGAGAGAGAGAGAGAGAGAGAGAGAGAGAAAAGAAAGAAAGAGAGAGAGAGAGAGAGGAGAGAGAGAGAGAGAGAGAGGAGAGAGAGAGAGAGAGAGAGCGAGAGAGAGAGAGAGAGAGAGAGAGAGAGAGAGAGAGGAGAGAGAAAAAGAAAGAAAACCCAGGCAAATAGTTAAAAAGACCCTATCTCAAAAAAATCATAACAAAAAAGGGCTGGTAGAGTGACTTACAGCGTAGGCCCTGAGTTCAAGCCCCCGTACTAAAAAAAAAAAAAAAAAAAAGTATTACATCATGTAGAAACTCTTGTATATAAAATTTGCCTGAAAATTGTTACATATCTGACTGTGATGGTAATACACACATCTCCACATATGGTAAGATGATATGGAA